TTTATCGCTGTCATCGAGCTGAATGAAATCGAACTCGTCAGGTCTTTGGTTGGCAGATAGCCCTTCTCAACTTAAGCTATGCTGCAAATGATGTACCTCGGAGCTGAGCGTAGTCAAACTCGAAGGTCTTTGGTTGGCAAATAGCCCTTCTTGCCTTGAGCTATGTTGCAAATGATGTACCTTGGAGCTGAGCGTAGTCGAACTCAAAGGTCTTTGGTTGGAAGATAACCCTTCTCGACTTAAGTTATGCTGCAAATGATGTGCCTTAGAGCTGAGCGTAATCGAACTCGGGGGTCTTTGGCAGATAGCCTTCTCGAGTTGGATATCCTTCGTCGTGAAGTTGAAAGTTGTTTATTGACAACCAGCGGTCCCTTCGTCGTGAAGTTGAACTTGCGTTGTCTTGAGTCCAATATCCTTTGCTATGAAGTTGAAATTGACTCTGAAATTGGGAAATTGTTTATTGACAACCAGCGGTCCCTTCGTCGTGAAGTTGAACTTGCGTTGTCAGGAGTCCAATATCCTTCGTTGTGAAGTTGAAATTGGCTCTGATATTGAGAAGTTGTTTGTTGACAACCAGCGGTCCCTTCGTTGTGAAGTTGAACATGCGTTGTCTGGAGTCCAATATCCTTCGTTGTGAAGTTGAAATTGGCTCTGAAATTGGGAAATTGTTTATTGACAACCAGCGGTCCCTTCGTCGTGAAGTTGAACTTGCGTTGTCAGGAGTCCAATATCCTTCGCTGTGAAGTTGAAATTGGCTCTGATATTGAGAAGTTGTTTGTTGACAACCAGCGGTCCCTTCGTCGTGAAGTTGAACATGCGTTGTCTGGAGTCCAATATCCTTCGCTGTGAAGTTGAAATTGGCTCTGAAATTGGGAAATTATTTGTTGACAACCAACGGTCCCTTCGTCGTGAAGTTGAACTTGCGTTGTCTGGAGTCCAATATCCTTCGATGTGAAGTTGAAATTGGCTCTGAAATTGAAAAGTTGTTTGTTGACAACCAGCGGTCCCTTCGTCGTAAAGTTGAACTTGCGTTGTCTGGAGTCCAATATCCTTCGTTGTGAAGTTGAAATTGGCTCTGATATTGAGAAGTTGTTTGTTGACAACCAGCGGTCCCTTCGTCGTGAAGTTGAACTTGCGTTGTCTGGAGTCCAATATCCTTCGTTGTGAAGTTGAAATTGGCACTCGAGCAATATGTGTTGTTTCGAGAGAAACTTTCAATCTGTCGAGTTGGTCGAAGTGTAGCTTCTTACTGCAGAGTTAATCAACCACCATCCTTCTTTGAAGGCGCTTGAGAATCGAGTATCCTTCATCCTGAAGTCAAAACTTGACTCTAAAAGCTGCAAAAACGTGTATGCTAAAATGATGAATGTGATGCACCTAAGTATGTTTAAGATGCATGCAATATGAATGAATTATGTGTTATCTTCTGGATGGAGTCTCGTGCTTTGTCTGTCAATTAGGTCATTGAAATCGATCGTGCCCCATTTGCTTCCCGAGCTTTGGCTTTACAGACCTTTCATATCTGAGACTGTTCTGCTTGAAAATGTTTTTTTTCCTTTTTCTTGTTTTAGGAGAGAGACATGATAAAAATGTTGTAAAATATTGTTCGCAATTGAATCAAATTGTAAATGTGAGTTCAAAAAATATCAAAGGAATCAAGAGCTCTTTTAATGCTTTCAGAGTTACAAATCTTTGACAAATGTTCAAATGGATGAGTTGGCTTTAGGTTAGCCTCCTTTCTAAGGTTTTGGTAACTCAAAATGTCATTTGTTTTAAATATCGAAATATGCTTTGGCAATTCATTTGGGTGCGGACATAATGACGCAACCAGGATGACCAATTACTAGACATTTTATTTCGGTCCTCTGAAATCTTCCATTTGTTCAAGCTTTGTAGGCTCCTCCAACAAAGGCAATGCGAAAAAATATCGGTCTAAAAATGAAATTCTTGAGTGCTCGTGTGTAGTCGACTATAACAGGTATTCCTTAACTCCCTTAGTCCATCATTACCGAAAATTTCTTGTTTAGATAAATTTGATTTAATTTGCCTTTATCTGGATAGCCGAATCCATAAAGCCGGGGCGTTCAACCAATTGCTTTAGAGGGACAGCTTAATATTATAATCACTTTTATCAGGTTTAACTGAAGGGTTCATCTCATCACAGAATCTTCAGCCTGACAAGAGCAGTGGAGCAAACACCGAATTGCCAAGTGTCCGAGCAATGTCATGGTTTGAACGTAATTTACTCATAAGGCCAGGGCTTTCAAGTTTCCTCTATAACCAATTGCCTTAGCGGAATAGCTCAGTTTTTACGGATTTAATTTCATAAGATTGTCAAGAAGAACCTGTTATAGCCTAGGCGTTTTTTTGAAAAGTCAAGGAATCTCATCTTTAGAGTTCAATTTTCAAGCAACTGACCTAAACTGGATTCACCTACTCGACTCTTTCATTTGTAAAGATCATCATCGTCATTGAACGTCTTAAATAAAAAACATAGTAATTGTCATATGCAAATGATGCCCCATGTTGTCCGCACCTTATGAAAGGAAAGGGTTACATTGGTTAATTGCAAGAGCACGGTACGGTGTTTGAGTGTATATTCTGGGTAAGGTTAAAGTCCTTGTTTCAGATTATGTTACTTGTCAAAGATCTGTAACTTTGAACCATTTACAGATTTTCTTAATTCAGATGATATTCAAAGAATTGCAAGTTTGCAAATGTGATCCATTGCTTAACATCTTTAAAGTAACATAAATTTATTTAAAAGTCCTTATAAAAACTTGAGAAAAAAATGAAAAAACAAATTCAAACAAAATGTCTCAAATGATGAAATGGTCTTCCTCACTTGGATGCCCCCAAGTTGTTGAAGTCGATCCGATTCTTGTTACGTATTTTCTGTATGATTCTCTTGATTGTGGAGTAATTCTCGATAGTGCGCCCTGGGACTCCGCTGCAGTGAGCGTTCTCATCATACTACCTGGGGTATGGGGCTTTATGGATTTCTCTGGATATGGTGACACCACATGTGCGTCGAACAACTGTTGGTAAAGCTATATGTCATAGGGTCGAAGTGTTCTCATTTTTTGATGAATCATGTGAAGATAGTTAATGTGAATGTAAAGAAATGAACAAAATGCAAAATGTTTAAATGCATGAAGCATGAAATGTCCGAGGCATTGATCCGAAAAATGTGTCTATCATTCTGAATAATCCTTATTAGGGACAAAAATGTTACATCTGAAGAGACAAAAAACTTTGTGATGGTATAGATCCCGCACAACCTCTGGCAAGTTGATTCGTCTTCCGCTTCTTCACCGGTTGAATATCCTGTCGAACCGTTCCAGCTCCTTTGGCTAAACTTGTGCGGGTGACGAGTTGCTTGCCCCAAAAAAGGTTTCGAATGACTGCATCTCCGGCCTTCACTCTATGCCGAGCTCGTTCCAAACGAAAGTGTCTTTGGAGCCTTCCATCCGAAGTTTGTCGACTTGTTTTTGGAATTCATCAATAATGGTCTCTAGCTTGGCTAAGGTTTCACCATCTTATTCTCTTAATTTTCGAAAGGATTCTCCAGGTCAATAACCATTTCCTCGTCTTGCCCCTGCAACCTTTGCCTCTAAGTATTCTTTAATCCCGGTTGGACTTCTGAGCTTTTTATCTCGTTGTATTATAACCCCATTGTCCATTAATGTAGACTATTTATGTTTAACAAATACATTTTTGGTGGATCAACACCTCGTTTTAATGATACGAATGATCAAAAAAAATGCAAAAGAACAGAAAATGAAAGGAGAAAAAAAAGTTAGTGAGATAAGGATAATAAAAAAAATGAAAATGAAAATGAAAAGTCCTACCCCACATGATATCTACCCCCCATGCTTATTATTCCTACCCGGACATGATCTCTATTCCGCATGTTGATTTTGAACAAGTCCTAACCGCATAAATTTCTAGTTCACATGCTTTGAACAGAAAGTAAAGCAGGAGATAATTCCAGCATCCTAGGGTTTGAAATGAGGTTTTGGGGTGGGCTCTAACTCCTTCTAAGTCTCCAGTTTAGGTTCTAAAACACGGTACCCGAGTTCTCCTTGCTGGTGCCCCCTTGGGCTTACCAGACCCTTAGTCCTAAACCCATCACAGGCTTGTGTAGACTAAGTTAAACTCGAGAGGAAACATTCCCTTATGCCCGCACGGTGAATAAATTCACACGAAGACATAAGGTATATGAATCCCGAAGGCTACTTGCTAGGCATATGCGGTGAATAAATTCACACGAATGCGTCGCTTTCACCCCCACTTAAAACATGTTTGGAGCTCGGGTTTAGAGCTTAGAGATGACAATTTTGAAAAAAATCTGAAATCATTAAAAAACATCAGTACAACTATTTATTTGAAACAAAATAATCAAAGATAAATAATTGGAATCGAATAAATAAATTAAAATTAAAATTTAACATTTTCACATAAAAAAAACAACCAAAAATTAATTTCGGCCTGACTCACTTACCTGGTCCCCAGCGGAGTCGCCAAGCTGTCGGAACCGTCTTTCGGTTGGGCCCTGGATTTGGGCTTCGACTTAGGAAAATGTGGATTGGAGTCGCCACCGACCATTTTAAAAAACATTTAGGTAGGTCGGACACCATCTTACCTTATCTGCGTTGTACCAGAAACGTGTCGGGTTCGGGAGTCGGTTACGATCAAGGAAGGATTAGCACCCTTGAACCGCCCTTTCAGTACCAATTAATTTGTCGGTTGTCTTTAATTGCGAAAAATTAAATTTAAATTGAAATTTTAAAACGTTCGATTTGAATAATTACCTTTGATCGATTGAATAACAAAATAAATGAAAAAAAAATAAAATTAAATGAAAGTGAGTAGAAATAATAAAATGATAAATAATAATAATAATAATAAATGAAACATAAACGCCAATAGTGGGTTAAATTCCTGCTTCTAACTCTGTGGCATGGCAACATTCAAAAGCTCCCAGTATTTAGTCCAATTCAATTCTTTTGATCATAAACCTCCTCATTCCAACCGTGCATAACAAAGTTGGAGTCTTTGTACCTTTCCCAGGGAACCTCAAATGCCATATCAGTAAACATGGCGTCACTATCCATCCACCACAAGAATTCAACTTCAGGATACGAAAGCAAAAGCTTACGAATCAACAGTAATTTCGCCCAAAACCAAGGTTTGGGAGACGACCCAGTGACTAAGAGAACATTCGGTTTGTTTGGACCTCGTCTTTATGGCCTTAACCATCACTCACCCACTCCTTTTGCTTTGCAGATTGCTTTAAAGCTGTGAAAAGCAGGGGATAGAAAGCGCGGGGGTTTAATGTGAAAGGTTTGCGGATTAAACTTTGAAAGTGAATTTTGTGGGGTAAAGGTTGAATCGGAGAATCTTATGCTACACGGGAAAAGAGACACCGAATTTCTTTCCATCCCCCTTTGATCGATTGAACTCGAATAATAAAACGGAGAGAGACGTCGCATTCGTCGAAATGATCAACATGGAATTACAAATTTGGGTTTCGAGGAGGGGATTATAGAGTGAAAGAACCGATGAAAACAACCAAGGTTTCTTCGAGGTTCTCCCATGGCGGAAACAAAGTTCGATAATGCTGGTCTTGGCAACGAGGAAGAAAGAGAACGTGAAAGGAAATGCGAAAACGGAGAAACAGATGGTTTGGGAAAGTTTTAAACTGAGAAGCGTGAAAAAATCTGATGAATAAGGGAACCCAGAAGCTTGAAAAAGATCATCGAGGCGGGCATGGATCGGTTGAAGCAAAGAAGAAGATGAAACATATATTTGCGAAAGAAGAAGTGAAACAGAGTAAAGGAAAGCAAGAAGAGCAGGTGTTAGAGTGAAGAAGTGGTAATTTTGAAGAAAAGTGAAGATCGATCTTCTCAAAATGCTGGTTGATTTCTCCATTTGAGTTCTTGGGGTATTATCCTCCATTGATGAGAGAAAGAACATGCCCTGTAAAGCCGTGATGCTTGCCCCATTTATTCAAGTTTTCTTCTCCTTTGAAAATGGTTGCTGGAAATGAAATGAAAGCTTAAAAACCAGAGGCTCTCCTATTCACGTGGCCCCCCAAACATTATTTAAAGCTAATTTCATACACTCCAAATCCATGCCATTTGCTCCCTGATGCATGTGGTAGTGGAGTAGGTGGGTAGGTGTGTAGTTGAGATAATAGTGGGGTAGTGGAGCCTGCAAAAATAATATTAATAGTATTAATAATATAATAATAATAATAAGTAATTATAATAATAATAATAATAATATAATATATTATTTAAGTCCGGTCAAAAACGGGTGTCTACAATAATTAAACCTCTATTAATTAATAGACTTAGCAAAGTGCCTCTGCCCACTGGCAAACGAGCCTATTTCTTTGTTTTATTTTTTAATTGCCAATTCAAATTTTTGAGTTAACGGTTGAGAAATCAAAATCGAACGGATCAATAGCTTTTAATAACAAATAATTAAGAATTATATTTAAATAGATATTACCTTATATTTACCTCATATTAATAAAAAAAAATTAGAACTGGTTTTTTTGTAAATCGGTTACTAAAATTGAACGGACTAAAACCATAAGGACTAGCTGTATAATTTACCCTGATAAAAAATTTCTGATAAAGTAAAGTCGAAAAACAATATAAATCAATAATTTATTAACATTATACTTCGAAAGAATAATAAATTTTTCTATCTTCATCGTCCACGATGCCAATTGCTTGGAATAAACGATAAACTCAACCAATCAACCAACGGAACCACACTCAAAAGAATAATTTTTTATAAAAAAAATACAAAGAAATAAAGTTCAAAAGAAGCATGCAGCCATGGAAGCTAAGGCAGCTAACTCAGCAGGAACAGCCAGAGCCACTCCCGCACTATCCATGGGAGATGGAGCCACCGCCCCTTGTTCATCCCTCAAAGCAGTGGCTCCGGTGGCCAAAGCGGCAGCAACCACAAGGCAGGCAATGGCCATTTTGCTACCCTCCATTTTTCTTAGCAAACTGTGAGAGAAGATGTGTGTTTTGAGTGGACTGCAGAGATTACAAGCGTTTTTATAGGGGAAAGAGTTTATGGTAATGGCCAAGTATTTGCCAGCTTTGTTTTGTTGGTTTTGAAACAAACCAAATCATTTGAAGGCATGTTCACGTGTTGTCAAGCTAATTTGTTTCCCCACTCTTGGAAGCTCATACCAGCCTGGACAAACCATGATTGTTACGTATTGTTAATTTCATTCTATTAACAATAATCCAAATCAATCGCTATAATATGCGATCGAACAAATATAACATTCAAGTTTATTTAGCAGAATATTTTGAAACTTTTAAAATACAAAGATATAACAACTGAAATTTTTGTACGAATCATATTATCTCAATGGTTAAACGAATGAATGTTATTCCTAGAGGTCCTGAATTCGAGCATCAGCGACTGCCAGCATGTGTGATTGGGCATTTATTATCAAATGGTTGAGAGTATTTAGAACATATACTATTTTATAATCATCTTAGCTTAATAAAAAAATTGAAATTTCTAAAATAAAATGGTATAGCAATTGCAACTCCAAAGGAATATTACTATAAGCTGACAATTTGACTCAATATACTTAAACCTAAGTTCTTGCTAAGAATAAGCATTATTTAAACGATTAGCATTATTAATAACAATTCAAATGATATAAATATTAACTTCTCGATAAAATAGTCTATTTGAGATAAAGCTTAATAAATTGTCTTTTTTTACATCTTATTGGATACAATACATATAAATATACTTAAAAATATCTGAATATCAAACTGAACAAACGATAATGCAACCAATCTTGAAATAGAAAAGGATTTTACATCAATAAGACCAAGACATGTAAAACACAAGATAAAAGCTTTTACTATTTTCGCAAGAAAATAAGAATATTTATTATTATTTTTATTATGGTTTTTTACTAAGCTAAGTGATTACAAATTCTAAATACTCTTCGATTTATTATACACAAACACCATGTTGTTGTTGCAGTCGTTAGTGTTCGAACATGTGACTTTAAGAACGATCACGATTCTTTTAACTACTGAGGAAGTTAATTCTTGCATAAGAAGAGTTATTAGACAAATAAGGATGTGATACTAGATAAATAAAAGAGAAAATAACTTCAGTGACCAAAAATCCTAGATAATATACGATTTTGACCAATTTTTTTTGGATTTGCAAAAATGACCAACAAAATCGCAATGCGATCTCTAATTCGCATTGCGATCTCCACTATCGCAAATTCGCGTTGCATTTCGCGTTGCGATAGTTGAAAATCGCGTTGCGATAGTTGAAAATCGCAACGCGATTTTTCATTTTGCGTTGGGATAGTTGAAAATCGCAACGCGATTTTCCATTTCGCGTTGCGATAGTTGAAAATCGCGTTGCGATAGTCTACAGTTGTTGTTGCGATAGTCTACAGTTGTCGTTGCGATTTTCCAAATTCGTTGCGAAAATTCGTTGTGATAGTTAAAAAAAAGATTTTGTTTCTTAAGAATTTTCTCTAAAAAGATAACGTGTCGAAGACACGTATTACCACGACCACGACCACGACCCGACCCGAGACGGACGGCGGCGGCGGCGACGCGCGAGAGTCCCCCTTGTTCTCTATCACTCAACAAGGAAGTGGGAAAGTCAAGCCTTAAATATCATTCCCAATAGTGTTTCCAATACTATGTGGGATTGAACATTACCAACATTTGTTTCCAATACGATGTGATTATTCAGGAAACAATTAACAATCATGCACCTTAAAACAACTAAATTAGCAACCAATTGCATTAGTATTATACGATTAAATATGTCATAATTAAAAGTCAATCTACAATAAATCGCGATTATTGCAATTTTAAGCAAAACATTCAAAAATAATATCACTATTTAAGGCTCAATCCCACATAGTATTGGGAACAAGTGTTGGTAATGCTCAAATCTCACATAGTATTGGAAACACTATTAGGAATAGTATTTTAAGGCTTGGCTTTCTCACTTCCTTGTTGAGTGATAGAGAACAAGGGGGACTCTCGCGTGCCGCCGCTGCGGTCGTCTGTCTCGGGTCGTGGTCGTGGTAATACGTGTCTTCAACACGTCCGCGCGGATACTATCTTTTTAGAGAAACAAAATATTTTTTTTTAACTATCACAAGAATTTTGACAACTGTAGACTATCGCAACAACAACTGTAGACTATCGCAACGCGAAATGGAAAATCGCAATGCGAAATGAAAAATCGCAACACGAATTTGCGATAGTGGAGATCGCAATGCGAATTAGAGATCGCATTGCGATTTTGTTGGTCATTTTCGCAAATCCAAAAAAAGTTGATCAAAATCGTATATTATCTGAGATTTTTGGTTACTGAGGTTATTTTTTCTAAATAAAATAAAGGTTGTACTGTAATTTTACCTTTATCAAGTCTTTAATAACTTTAAACCTTTTCCATTGCCAAGAGGACTCTGTGGCCCAATGGATAAGGCGCTGGTCTACGGAACCAGAGATTCTGGGTTCGATCCCCAGCAGAGTCGATTTATTTTTCTTTTTCTGTTTTGCACTTTTTTTCATTGCATACACTTCTCAACCGTCGCAAAAGCGTAATTTTAAGGATGGTGCAACTTCAATGACCATATCTCTTAATAAGAAACTAAAACTAATCCTCCTTCAAAGTTATCATATTAGTATTTCCCTCTTTTCATTGATGAAAGGCAAAGCTTACTGATAGTGGAAACATAACATAACTAGAACTACAATATATGAAGAACTCGACAGGTTCTTCAAACGAAAGTTCATTTGCGTTTCTTTCCGGTCACTGCTTCCCAAGCTTGTAATACATGGTTTACTATTTCCTCCACGCCATGCCCGTGCTTCACCTGCAAATGTATAATTTACACACAAATTATCAACAATTAAAAAAGTTTTGTTTATGTAATTCTAAGGATGATACAAGTTTGACGGCATTATATCATAACGATTTTGTTGATTAGTATGTAAATCAATGGTTCTTATGACATTAATCTCATAACCATCGAGTAATTGATGCAAATAATGAGAATAATATCAATGGTTTTATTCAAGAATATGGTGAAGGATACACTCAACTACTCAACCAACCTGAGCAAATACAAAGGGTCCTCCATCACGCATGCGAAGCGCATCACGTTCCATGACTCCCAAATCTGCTCCAACTGCAGGTGCAAGGTCAGTCTTGTTTATCACCTATTAAGAAAATGTTACAAATTCATGTCAGAAATCCCAATAAGTGCATTCAATGCAATGGAACAACAAAATAAATAAAATCAAATACCAAAAGATCAGCTTGGGTTATGCCAGGGCCACCCTTCCTAGGGATCTTATCACCACCAGATACATCTATTATATAGATAATATAGTCAGCCAGTTCTCTGCTGAAGTTGGCAGCTAAATTATCTGCATCCATAGAAGTTCGCATAACTAAATCAGTAAGTTATTTTTCATTTTCCAATTAGCACAAAACACCTAGTTCGGCACTTTCAAAATGTGAGGCGTCCTCAGTTTTCATGCCAAATCACTTTATAGAAAAATTGTACCTACCTCCTCCGGACTCACAAAGAAGTAAATCTGTTTTGTACAAGTTAGAAAGCTCCTCAAGAGGACCGAGATTGATGCTGATGTCTTCACGGATAGCAGCATGCGGGCAACCTCCTGTTTCTACAGCGCGTATTCTTTCCTCGGGAAGCGCACCGTGTTTCACCAAGAACTCACCGTCCTCTTTTGTGAATATGTCATTTGTCACCTGAAGTTTACAAATTGCTTCTCAATGCATCGATTCAAGTTTGGGTTAGCTGCTCAGATCATAACTTATTTAAAGACACTGACACAATTGAATCAAATATGCTCAGTCTAGATAACATTCAGAAAAAATTTACCTCCGATAAC